TACCTGCGCAACGGCGCCACACAACTCCTTCGATGGTGCCCAGCAGCCGGCTCGGTAGGCCGAGGACTCAAGGAGTTTTGTTTGATGGGTCTTGATCTCCACAAAGCAAAGAGAGCTGATGATGCCTCTCGTCTTCATAAGGCTATCGACCCGCTTGCCATGGTGGACCATGTCGTGACCTGCAACGACCTGCTCAAGCCTCCGATTGTCGAAGCCAGTCACGAAGAAGTAGCTGAGGCCGTAACCGAAAATCCACTGATTGCGCTCGAAGAAGGCTTGCCAGAGCGCCTCATCGCCCTTGATCTTTTTGGCCGCCTTCGCTTGCTCGAAGTACTCAGGCTCGTTCAGTAGCTTGGAAAATGCTGCGAGCTGCCGCTTACGATAGCCGAGAGCGACAACATCCTCCTTGGTGATCTCCTGCCGAACCACTTCAGAGAAGACTTCCTGGTTTTCCTGAACGAGGCTGGTTGCCTGCTCCTTCGACAGGATGAGTTTTCGGAGTTCAGTGTCCGTGATGTTCATCCGCTTGCCATCCGAGAACTCCACCGAAGCAATGTTCTGGAAGAAAGCGAGCAGCATCGGAATCTCCTCGCCGATGAACGAGAAGTGTGTCTTCTGCGGAGTCCCCTTTTCGCCGTTGAACGCCTGAAGAGTGACTACGCTCAGGCCCCTCGTGGATTCAAGGAACTTTGCAATGATCTCGGTTCGTCCCTTTTCTGTTCGCCGAAGGACTACCTCTTTCTTCACCGTCGCATAGTGCAAGCCCTCTGAATCGATGACCTTCGACGCGATGCGCAGGTTTTCTCCTTCGCCCAAGTCGACACGAGAGCTGATATAGGTCTTGCCAGGAAGCTTGTTCCTGTGGATTTTCTCCTCGTCATGCATCCTCAGTCCTCATCTCAACGTGCACGTAAGGGGCGGTAGGCAAAACAGGTCTTGGTCGTCATCGTGGCAAGCAACGCCAAGCGATCTCGGTGAACTCGAATGCAGCTTCCATCTCGTCAGCAGACAGGATTTGCATCGTCGGCTCATCAATCGCATTGGTCACGATGGCCAGCTTCCAAGCATCCAGCACCTGTGCGGACGATCTCTCGTTGCGAGTGATGTAGAAAGCGGGGACCTGCTGACTGGTCCCTTTTACTTCAACGCGACCAACAATCTCGCCGGTCGACGAATCCGCCACCTCCAGATCGTAGCCAACGTTCTGAGTTTCCTTGCTGTCGACTCGATAACCGAGCCCCTGATAGTGCTGCCTCACGTAGGCGACAGCGGCGTCCTCGATCTTCTTTCGGGTTTCGTAATCGGGGAAACCGAAATTTGACTCATTCTCGCT